GCCTCAGCCCGGTGCCCACCCAGCCGCAGGCAGCCCCGCTCACCGGATCTCGTGGGCGGGTTCTGGGTTCACCTCGATGCCCTCACCGAAGAACACGGGCAGCAGCCGGGGCCTCATCTCCAGCGCCGGGGGGTTCGGAGGGAGGGGCGGGGGCTGCGGAGAGAGTCGCGGGCACGGTTACACACGCGCGTGCCCACACGCACAAGTACACACACACACACACACACACACACACACACACGAGGGCCACCCACATCCTCCAGCCCCAGCCTGTTAGCCCCAAACCAATTCCACAGGCCCGGCCCCCTCCCCACGTGACTGAGCGCGGCCCTCACTCTTTCTGCTCTCTTCATGCCCCTCCCCCCGTCCTGGGAAACTCGGGCACTTGGTCACCCTGCACTGACACCAGGCCCAGGGCCAGCCCAGCAGAAGCCCGCCATCTGACCGGACGGCTCCCCCCGAGACCTCAGGTGGCTGTCGGCAGCCTTCCCCGGGCCCCGGGACACCGGCCCGTACTGACCCGCCTCCACTCCTCTCCTGCGGGCCTGACACCAACAGTTCCTCCTCAGCTCGGCCTGCACCCCTGCACCCGCGCCGGGAACCCATGTCCCAGGCCCTCTGGGGGCGCAGGGGTGCGACAAGTGCTGACGGGACTGGTGTCGCGTGAGGTCCTCCAAGCTCCGACCTCCTTCTGATGCATCATTCAAAGTGGTGGCTACGTCACCAGCCTCAGCCCCCCAGGCCTTCACACCCTGTCAGCCCCCCACCCCCGTCTCTGAAGGGGTGACAGGGGCACCCAATGCCCAGGCCGCAGCGAGGACCGTGCCCAGACCGCCCGCACAGAGTACGCGCTGGAAGAGCCGGCTTCCGCCACCAGTCCTCCTTTTCGTGAAGGTCGGGGGTCCTCCCTGGAGAGAGGTCCAATCCACACCCCAAACCTTGAAACCTCGCCGCTCCTTCTTCCCGCAGCAAGCGCCCACGTTTCCGGAGACGGAATTCAGAAAAGAAAACAAAACAAAACAAAGCGACAGCCCCATGGCCTGATGTTTATAGAAACAACGTGCTCTCCAAAGGGATGCCTCCTCGACGTGTGCAGGTGTTTGCTGAGCACCTACTGCGTGCTGAGTGCCTACTGTGTGCCACTCCCTGTGGGCGGGATGACGCCCGGTGCCTCCCAGGGCCCCTGTCCAAGGGGGTGGTGTGTGGCCACAGAAGAGCTAAGAGGAAGATGCAGCCACGCGAGGGGACGGGAACGTGGGCACTAAGGTTTTTGGAGGCATTTCTCCCGTCTGGATACGTGGATGCGCTGGAGGGGAGAGGGGCCGCCTGTGCTGGTTCTAAGCCTCCCCGCCCCCCTGAAAACAATCACCCCAAGCTCAGGAGCAGGGAGGCAGAACCCCAGGTGCCACCCTCTGCCCGGGCTAGAGAAACGGCCGAACCCCGACACAGCCTGAGCGGACCTTCGGTCAGCGTGACTGCAGCCACATTCGGGCGGATCTGGCTCCGGGCCGGCTGCCAACAGGGCACACAGGCCCCTTCACGGCCTGGCACGGCAGCCGCAGCCCTGAGCGCTGCTTTCCAAAGGGCCCAGA